TATCTTGAAATAAATTCATTTGGATCCAAATAAAATTTGTATGAAATTTTTCATTTGTGTTGATCCAGCTGGATCACGACGTGTTATCGCTGAGGAAGAGCACAGGCGTGCTCGAAATAAAAAATTATCTTATGTCTATTATGTCAACGTACTGTATACAACTCTACTTTGTGCATTCGTACTCATTTTATATATATTTTATACATATAGGTAAAGGTAGGAGAATAACCCATAACTTGCAGCGTCATTGTGCTGAATTCCGTATGGGCGTGGTCCGTGACTACCTAGCAGCCGTAAAGAGGCGCTTCTTGGTAGATACATGTTCACATCATTCCACGACAGGGGCTGAAATGAACCATAACATCGGGGTAACCCCCTACTCTTCCGAAAGATGCAATGGGTTTTTTTAAAGTGCACATGAGCCAGATGTATACACTGGACCTCCATTTTAAGTCCTTATCCGAGAAGACTTGGTTCTACCAACCGAACCATGGGCGAGGAGCGGCTGGAACCAGCGCCGATGTTAAAGGCTGTAGCTAGCGGCGCCCCTGCCTTACCGCTCGGCCACTCGACTCGCTTGACATAAAATGAACATATTGAGAAAGTATCTTCGCAATATACAATTTGAGAAACAATACTGTAATTAAGTCAAAGTAAGTTGGCATACGTCTATAAAGGATTAATGATATATGTACAAATAAACAGTGATAAGGGTGAACAATGAATGAGCAAGTGGTGGACTGTGGGAAAGCATTACTATAGTTAATGCATGGAGGAACTACCGTATTAAAAACCGAAAGGTCCACTGATTAATCTCAGATAAGAAAGTATAATACATACTCCAAGTATTGAAATACACGCCATCGTGTTGGGATTAATATTTCGACATTAATTATGTCATCATCAGGAAATACATGACATAATTAATGTCGAAATAATGATGATGACATAATTCTTCCTACTGGCTTTATTTCTTCCTACTGGCTTTATTTCATACAATTAGGCGGATTCAGATCTGATAAATACAATAAACTGTCAGCATTAAAAAATTGGAACAATTAAATAAGACACAATGGAGTAGGACAAAGAAAACAACGTAATTCAAAGACCATTCTAACAATGACGAATTTCAACAATTTAAGCTGACTGGGCTATTGTGTAGTCAAATAGTGTATTTCTTTTATTCCTGATGATGACATAATTAATGTCGAAATATTGAATCCCAACACGATGGCATGTATTTCAATACTTGGAGTATGTATTATACTTTCTTAACTACCGTATTGTTTCTCAAATTGTATATTGCCATGTTACTTTCTCAATATGTTCATTTTATGTCAAGTGTTGACAAAGACTACAGGAGTAGCCGAAATATTCGCCAAATAAATTTTAGTGTTTCTAAAGTCAACATCTTACGTACTTGAGTTTCTTTACTGTTACGTTATATTATATTCTACATATGTT